AACTATAAAACCACATGTATAAGCACACATACGTGGTTATTGCCATACCACCCTCATACTAGAACATAGAAAAATTATTAAATATCTGCTCTGAAGAGGTCCTTCTAGTGGTTTTTTTTTTATTAAAGAAAGAGTAAGCTATCTAAGAAAAAGTCATAGTTGGTACCAAAAGATGATAACATGGCTAATTATAGTTGATGGCATGGTTTAAATAAGTAAATAAATAAGTATATCTCTCTGGAAACAAATTACTTATTTCAGGACCTGCTCTTGTCCTAGGTAATTGCTATGGGAAATGTCCACATATAGTAGCTGCAGCTGCTATTTGAAGAATAGAGTCTATCTCAGAGCTTGGTATTTTTCTGTGGTGTAGTAAATGGTCTAATGCAGGGATGCCAAACTCACATCGTCATGGCGACATCACGTGACGTATTGGGACTTTTTTCCCCTTCGCTAAAACGGGTGTGGGTGTGGCCAGCGTTTGAGGCATCCGGCCCGCGAGTTTGACAGCTCTGGTCTAATGCATGGAAGGTGCCAGTTTACAATGAGATGTGAATGGTATGGGATTGCCTTCCTGTGTAGTATGAATCTAGTTGGTGTGGTTTATAAACCATAATTAACATGCTTTCTGAATCTGAATCTGTTATTTGTTCATCCAACTACTGTATGTTAAACAGTGTGATATATGATCTGGTCTAATGAAATTTTGGTAGGAAGTCAACTGAAGAAAAATATTTCACAGAATATTTAACATAAGTGCTTATAATATCAGAAAACCCCTGTTGCACTAGTCTTCCCCAGTTTAGCACTCTTCAGATGTAGCTGGGATTAGAGTCCTACTGTAAAGCATAATCATTTGTGCGGGGGGGGGGGGAATCAGATTAGCGGTTTTCTTTCCACCAAACACTTTCTTACAAAGAAGAATTGAATCATTTGTTGTCTATTAAAATCCTTTCCTTTCTGAAATGGCTTTCCAGAATGTTAATGATTACAGTGTCTCAAGGCAAGGCTTTTTCCTCCCAGCAGGAATACATTCACTTTGGGAAAACTTCTGTGCTCATTACAAGGAATTTGGCATTCATTACATTCTCACTAACCTACCATTTTAATCCTCTGATTGTGAATGTTTGTTTGCAGCTTTATCAGGCTGGCTCCAGGTTTCCCTTTCACATGATCTTGGATGATGATAAGTTTCTTCTATTGCTAATAAACTTGGAGTCAAGAAAGAATTCAGAAAGAAAGGAAGGAGCCTTGGGCTTGTGTGACTTAGTCTTTTGCTATGATATGAAAATAGTCTGCTAAATCTGATACAACCTTTTCCTGCCCAGGGCTATATATGTGGCCAATGAAGAGCAAACCAGAGATTGCACTTCTAGTATTGAGTAGGTTGAGAACAAAACTAAATTTGGTTGCATTCATGTTTAAATTGAACCAGAGATATGAATACTGTACTTATTCTCCATGAATTAATCATTTTAGTTTATATCATATTAAACATATATAATTTCATAGTAGCTTTTGAAAGTCTTGAAGATTGTACTCAAGGATTTTGAGCAAACAGGTATATAGCCCTGGACCACTGGTTCTTTCCATTTAATTTTTTTGGTGGGTACTCTGGGTTTCTGGCAAATGAATAAGCTTGACTTATGAGATGCCCAACTATCTCATGTAAGAAATGGTGGTGTCTAAGGACTGCCCTACTGTGCTATAATAACCCCCTTTCACAGCATGTTTAAATGCTTATGCTGTGTCAGATTTATACCACATTTTCTGTCATTGGAGTTCTTTGCAGTAAATTGTGTCAGGAAGTTTAAACTATTAGTCTTGGAGTTGGAATTCTAAATATCTTACATAAGTGATGATCTTTAGGAAATGATTCTCAGCCACATTGTGTGATCTGATGGTGCAGCTCCAGGGCAAGGAATGATGGCCTTTGCTTGCCCAGGCATTTTATGCATTCTTCCCCTGTATTGCCTCGGTGTGGGAACAAGATCCTTGAACAGATAAGCAATATCATAGGTGACCTTCATGATTTATAAAAATGACTGACTGAGTAAATGCTAAAATATACTAAATAGTGAAAAAAAAGTTTTTTAAAAAATAAAATAAAACTACATTTCTATTTTTAAAAAATTAGGAAGGAAGAGACTTTTGGTGATAAGGAACTGCTTGCCAAATCCCAACAAATTTCCCACAAATTTCCAATATTTCTTTTTCAGATAAGATGTGAAGGTGTATCTACCCTAAAGGTTTCTGCAGGAGATGGCTTATCTAGAGTCATTTCAGTTTTGCTTTAGTATGTTAATGAGTTGGAGTGTGCTTTGTCATATTGATAAATAATCTTCTCTATTCCAGGCACTGAACAGGAATAGTAGGTAGCTGATGATTTGGCTAGATTCCCTTACTGCTTTTAATATGCGTGACGATGGAACATTTCTGGAGTACATGCCTAGAATGGCAATTGGAAGCACAGAACCAGTGTCTCCCACAGATTTCAGACAGTGATTCCGAAACATCCCTTCTGAGCCTGTTCAGTGGTTTATGGACTCCAGGATTAAATTTCATACCCCATTCTATTTCACATAAAGATGACATTCTTGAGAGAAGATAGTTTGGATAGTTTGGCTTCATCAGTACGCAGATGGCTCCTGCCTTCTTTTCTCTTTCTCATCTAATCGAGAAATAGATTCAAATTCTAAATTGGATATCTAATGTTGATAATTGATTGAATAATATCAATCATAATCATATCAAATGCTCCATTCAGAGAACATATAACTGTTCCTCCTAAATTGAAAAATGGAATACGGGATTCAGTTTATCTAATGAACCAATAAAATGTAATGGATTGGGCTGCATTTTCCATGAGGACACATATTTTCCAGCTATCCTAGATTTAGGTCTTAAACTAAAAATGTTCTTGAGCTGGTACCTCAAGAACATGTTCAGGCTTTGCTGGTAGTTACCAGTGCATTTCCTCATATATTCAATGCATAAAATCTTGGAAATATCGGATCTTTATAACACATACCTTGATGATGTTCCTTTGGATCAGTCTAGTGTTGTCTTAAAGAGGCTTCATTTAAAATGCGTTTGGAAACTTAATGAAGTCTAAACCCCACCTGGCCATGGCCATGGTTCACTAAAGTAGCGAACACTTTATTTTCTTTAATATTCTCAGGCTAGTAGGCATGTTTCTAGGTACAGTTAAAATGCCAGTCATGATCTATACTGTAAAACTATACAGACACAGTCCTGGAATGTTTACTTTGTCTATGTCATTGTCTGCTACCATTTGTCAGATATATATTGATGGTTGTGCTCATTTGGTTCTATGAGGAAGTTATTTGGTCAATACAGCTTCAGGTTCAAAAAGTTGTTTTATTATTTACAAAATATATACATGCATACAATAATGAACAAGGTGTCCTGTTGCACTTTTTACCCTAACTGTATGACTCAGATGTTGAGAGGAGAGATAAGTTCACATGTTGTCTTGCTGAGAGATAGATGAGAGAGAGAAAAAAAACAGAGAAGATGTCCAAGTGGTTTCTGGGTAAGAGTCCAATAAAAGAGTTCATTGGCTGATATAGTCACATGTAATGTCTGTAAAGACTTAACCCCTTCTAGTCTCTGGTGCATCATATGCAGGCAATATTCTGACAGTCTATATATTATCTACTCCAATTTTAAGATCTTTGAAGAGCCCCTTCCAAAAATACATTTGTTTGGAGAATCAGGAATTAGACATGTGAGAACAAGAAATATTGGCTATTATCAGTCAAAAAATGAATCAGAAAAGGGGAAATTAAGGAGGAAAAGGGGGAGGTGAAATTTGTTGCGGTCATATTGGGATAAATCAATAGCAAGCTGACAAATCAAACATTGAGATGCCCAGTCAAAAAAAGGAGGCTTTATCTTGCAAAATGCTCCCCCAGAAAAGTAAATTATCTCGAATTTTCATGTGAATAGGCCTTGCAGAATACTAATGCTGCACCTTCTTGCCCATCTGTTTGGGAATAAATGTAAAATTCTGTGGATTTAGGGATATTTATATTTAAGTAAATTTGCAAGTGCAGAAGAGAGGATTTTTGATGATTACTTAATCACAGTAAAAATACCATCTTGCTTTTAATGTGCTGGAAGAGGTCCATGGACATTGTTACAGATAGTCTTTCTGTCTGAATTTTTTGAAAGCCAGGTTAACTGCTGATTTATAACTTACATCTCTGTCATGCCCATCAGAATAGAATACAGCATGAAACAAATTTTGTATAGCTATAACAATTACCCACTTTTCCTGGCTGGGATCATGTTTCTTAATCTGTTGCACGATGAAAATAAAATGAGAATTATAATACTAGCTCTTTATACTTTTAACTACTTTAAAACATTCCAAGAGGACCATCCCTAGTGCAGGTATACTAAATGTTATCTTCTATAGTTTCAGGCAACACGACTACGCTCATGAGGAACAGCCCTGCAAGGCATCAACTGAGGGAGGCTATTGAAGTTCACAAATGAGGCTGCCCTCACCTTCCAATGTATGAAATCTTAGCTCTGTCCTCGAAGAAACCCTCGCAAAGTTTGTTCAACTAGCAGGATTTCATTGGAAGGAGCAATTTAATCATCAAAGATAATTAGCCTTTCCCCAAATGATCCCCCTGATCTCTGGGGAGCGACAGAAGACCAGAAGAAGGAAAGGTGTTGTTTGTTTGTTTTTCAAAGGAGAAAGAAAGGACACCTCTCTTCAAGTCAAGGAGCGCTTTAAGAGCATTAAAAAGTTCTCTATTGTTAGGCAAGTTCTGAGAATGGATAGCGAAGACACCCCCCCCTTCCTCCTCCCTTTGCCTTTTGAAGTGCAGCATCATCAGGCAGCTCCTTCTGCTATCTTGTCATTGGGTAGCAAATGAATGGGGGTGGGTGAGAGGGGGGCAGTTGGCCGTTTAGGCATCCACCTTATAAATAAGAAAGACTTAGGCTGCAGGAACTTCCCTTCTTCTAGCATCTGATGAAGGAGGCTGGCGGGCTTATGGGAGATTTTTATTCCATAATTAGGCTTTTAAGTAATTAAAAGAGCCTTGGTGTTTTTTTCCACCCTCATTCTATTGGGCTGGGACTTTTTGTAGTTGTTTTTTTTTTTTAAGTATAATAAAAGGAGGAGCACTAGATCTTTCTGTTATCTAGCAAATCCTTTGAGAAGGGTGTGAAGGGAAGACAATTTAGTAGGTCAGCTAGGGGAATAGAGATTTACCATGAGAAGAGGGACCTCCGTCACCCTGGCCAGTCTCATGCTATATAGTGCTATTGCTGTTTTCAACACATCATCAGCCTGGTAGGCATTCAAGGCTCACTGCCACTTAGGGTTCTGGGTTTGGAATGACTCTGTTCAGAAAAGTTTTTCATAACTTTTTTTTCTCTCTCTTTCTACAGGTCAGTGAATAACTTTCTGATGACAGGGCCCAAGGTACTTATTCCTTACCCCTCTAAAATGTACTTTAAACTTGCATAATTGATGACAGCTTACTTTAGTCAATAACATATTATTTACCTACGGTAAGTAACCTTTATTAATATTGTGACCCTCTGTGCAGAAATCAGAGAAACTGGATATAAATGGCTATATAATTGGATATAATTTGGATTATAACCTCTGGATATAATTTAAGGGTGTTTGGGAGGGTTGAGAAACATTGGAAAATAATGTATTATATTTGTTTCGTCTGTGAAAGGCGTATTTGAGGTACTCTACAAGCGTGTCTGCTGGTGCCCAAAGTGGAATCGAGGAATGTAAGCATCAGTTTATCTGGGAACGCTGGAATTGTCCAGAGAGTGCACTTCAACTCTCCACTCACCATAGACTTAGAAGTGGTAAGTGGATTTTAACACATCCCTGCCTTTTGATAGGTCCACTTGAATTGTGTTTATCAGTCTGCAAAGGTTATGTGCAACTGAGAATAGAGCATAACTTGTAGGGTTCACCAAGTTTTCAGTTACCTGTGGCCTGACTTGCTCCTGGAATATGTGAAGGAATATATAATAGGAATACATTATTGAACAGATCAAAGTAAATTTCTCTTTTACTCTTCTGTTATTAGTTACCATAGGTGGGGGTGCCTTTTTTCTAGAAATGACATAGAAAATTGTTTTAGATCGCTAATTCTTACAATCTACAAGAGGTAGATTGTGTGGAAAGTGACCAATCAGTCATCTGCTGTGCTTTATAGTATGAAGATCTGAATCAGGATTGGTACGATATCCAGTTTAAAATGCATATACACATTGAATTGGTACCTCAAGAACATTTTTTTCCCCCAGCCAAGGTTGAGATCTGTCTTTTTATCCCAGAAATCAGCAGCTGTGTTCATCCCTATTAGGACAATGGTTTTATTAGGTCAGATCAGATAAAAAATAGTGTGCAAGTTTTGAGTCTCTCATTTTTGCTGAAGGTCAGAGAGGTGAGCTAATGTAGTGCATGGATTTTTTTAAAAAAATTATGGTCAGGACTAAGTCAAGCAGTAACAGTTCATTTTAAAATGCAACTATTTGTTGCTGTTTTTTTAAAGACATTTTAAAAAGGGCCATTCAGAATTCAAAATGAACAATGATTTCTAGGCTGGTCATAAATCTGGAACTCAGAACACAATCCTATGCAACTTTCCTGCGAAGCTGCTCCTACTGAATTTAGCATGGAAGACTTCTACATCTGTGGGTGCAAGAATACTTTATAAAATAATAAAATTAATGTTGCCATTGAATGTGGATAGATAGATAGATAGATAGATAGATAGATAGATGTATTAAAGAATTTAAAATATTTAAAAAGGAATTTAAAAATTCCTTAGTTAAAAGAATTTTGGGGAAGGAAGACATTCAATGGCAACATTAATTTTATTACTTTATAAAATATTCCTCCCTCTCTCTCTCTCTCTCTCTCTCTCTCTCTCTCTCTCTCTCTCTCTCTCTGTGTGTGTGTGTGTGTGTGTGTGTTGGGGATATTTGTGCATTTATGTGTATGTTTTAAATTCAATTTTGATACAAAATGAAAACTAATCTGTTGATTATCACTAGGCATCATATATCAATGCACCTAATTTATGAACTGACATAGAGACCAGGGGAAATGTAGATAGATTAACCAATCAATCCTCACTGCTTCAAACTAGCTCAGAATGAATAGACATCATACAAATGAAAAAAACACTTTCAAATGAGGATGCTTTCACCAAGAGTGCTGCTTGATTTGTCTGTGACATGATGAAATACATAAAATTTAAACACAAAAATTTAAAACCTTGGAGTTGAAATAAAAGCAATGATTAGAAAACAAATCATTTTATAGTAGAAATGCAGCTATTATATCCACAAATTTAGTATTTCTCTCCCTCCAATTTCTTATCATGCTGTACAAATTTGCAAAAAGAGCTTGTTTTTCTTTAATTCCATTGTAATTCCTGTCTGTCTTTTGGTACATTTCCTAATCCAGAATCCTAGTGAGATTTGGACATGGGAGGGGATATAAATTCTTTAACCAAACTTCCTTCCAGAGATTGGGAATGTATTGGCATATACAAACCCATTGCCTGAGATGAGAAAAAGATTTCTTTTGCTTTTATTTTGGCCAGGAGAAGGGAAGATTAGACTAGAAGGAGATGAAGGTTTATGTTTCACACTGACAGTTCTTTCTTCCTTCTAGCTACAAGGGAGACTTCATTTGTTCATGCCATCAGCTCAGCTGGAGTAATGTATTCCCTAACCAGGAACTGTAGCATGGGAGACTTTGAGAATTGTGGCTGTGATAATTCAAGAAATGGACGTGTAGGTGAGCCTGGGTATTTTTGAAAAAGATATACTGAAGAAAGACAGGTGTTGTTCTCCTCGGTTAACCTTGTTTCTACACATTTGAAATGCAGAACTGCAGGGTCCATATTTTGTACTCTTTATTTCTGCAAGTTAGACGAAGGTATCAATTAACCTCACAAATTGTGCAGATTATGAAAAATCCCAAGCAACACAACTGAAAAATGTTTTATTTCCCACCCACCCCACTCCCACCCCCACATGCATGCTCCTCTACTAATCCAAAAATTGTGCTCATTCTCTTTAGATTTTTGGTGAACTTCTTAAAACCCACCTCTGTTTTATGACTCAACCCACAGGTATTTGGAAATAATACTTTTTTTTCTCCCCCAGGTGGAAGCGGATGGGTTTGGGGAGGATGTAGTGACAATGTGGAATTTGGTGAAAAAATTTCCAAGCACTTTGTGGATGCTTTGGAGACAGCACATGATGCCAGAGCTTTATTGAATTTGCATAATAATGGGGCAGGGAGATTGGTAAGTTTTACTTAGAAAAAATATTTCTTTTGGAATTGGGGTATGTGCAAACAATGTTACAGAACTATGCCTTCAAGCTGTGTTTTCCTGATTTGACTATCTCCATGATTTCATGAACTTGAGTGCTCAACTTGAATAACTATAGAGTTTCCTTACCTGGCCCTACAAGGAACTACATGTTTCAATAAACTCCTTTTTATTTTGGAAATAGAACATTTAGTCATTGTCAGTAGGACAATAGTTCAGTGATTGCTTTAAAACCAGTAACCACAATGTCTGATTTTTTAAAAAATGTATTATTAAGTCCAATTTGATGTGATGAATACAAACTTTGCTCTCACTTAGCTATGGGGAAAATGTGGAAAATCTGTTCTCTATATTGATTGATTGAAATTTATCTTCAAGTTCCATTACAATGAGAGATTCGGACAAGTCCCAACATGCCTGCTATTGACTCTTTTTCCTCAAAAGAATTTGCAAGATTGCTTGTTAGGCATATTTATAATGTGTGAAGTAACCCCTGATGGTCTAGTTTGCAAAGAATCCATATCCATAACAGCTTGTATTCAGACATCCAACTAAGTAAAAGCAAACCAATCGATTTTAACTTAACGTTATTTTAGGAACTGGTGCATTACAGTTTACTTATAATATGTTAAACTTCTGGCCATATATATTAATATTAAAATAAAAAAAACATTGAGCACATTTTTCTGCAGTGTTTGATGAACATGAATCTAATTTTCTCCAATCTGCTGTCCTCCATATCTGATATTCATGCTACATAGGGATAATAGTAACTAGAATCCAACTTATGCAGAGAGCAGTAGACTGAAGGAGGCTTCTAAGATATGGACAGTAACTATATTCCATACATACTAAACCAATATATATAAGTCAGTCTAAAATTATAATATACTGGCGTAAGCTTTTGTTTTCCACTACTCAACTAGACATTCTTTACATATTTATAAAGTAAATCTAACTGAACACAGAAGAATTTATTTTAGTAATGTATGTTGCTTGTTTCCATTAATAACAATGTTCACCTAGCATGGGAATTTAGCCGTGGAGAAGTTCAGGTTAAGAGGGAAGAGGTTATGGGGAGATTAAATGAAAGCCTGATGCTTGTGCCAGTGCAGGGCTGCATTTAGAATAACAGCAGGTTGATCCAGGTTTAGCTCTTTACTTTAATCATAAATCTCTCTCTCTGCCCAAATCACTCACATTATCACTCTTAGAAAGTTGGCAGAAATCATGTACACTAGGTAGCATTCAGATCTGTAGAAAACAGGGCTGTCCTAGGATTCAAACTGGACTATTGTTTAGAAATAGTCTAAAGGTGGTCCAGAGCTATTATTGAAAGGAGAGGCATTCATCTACATCTACCTGGGCATTAAGATTAGTCTTTAAGAGTTATTCTCTCCCTTGCCCCCCCCCCCCCCCCCCACAATGTGCTGCTAAGAATTAACAGACGAAGATGGAACCTTCCTGGTGATGGCCTTGCTCTGATATAATTTCTTTTTCAGCATACACTTTTATATTGTTTATAGCTTCTTTTACCATAATGCAGGTCTGATGTTTAACATGTTTTTGAAAGTATGATTTTGCTATTACTTCTATTGATTTTGTATGGTTTTGATGTTTCAATAGTATTATAAATGAATAGTAAATCATAACAAATGTACGTTCTCCCAAACTCGCTGGAAGAAAGTTGGGGAAAAAACATTCTTCCAGATTTGTGGGTTTTTTTTAATCCTGTTAAGTAATGTAAACCAATGAGCGCTGAACAGGAAGTTGTACACATTTTGAAAAACGATTCAGAGGATGTGGTGTAGACCTGATGTGAACTTAACACTGCTGCACAACACTTTAAATTCACTTTAAAATAACTTTTTGCTCAGATTTTGATATTTATTTATTTATTTATTATTTATTAATTTAATTTGTATACCGCCCTTCTCCCAGAAGGGACTCAGGGCGGTGAACAGCCAAAATTAAAAAACATACAAATGCAAAAGTTAAGATAATTAAAAGAATTAAATCATTGGCTACCCAATTTTAAAACCCCAAATCCATAAAATTTAAAATCCCATTTAAAAACCATTTAGGCTAGGCCGGCTTGATGAAATAAAAACGTCTTCAGGGCTTTACGGAAGGTCCGGAGGTCCGGGATCAATCGTATTCCAGGAGGCATATGAATGTGGAAGAAAGGAATACCCTGCCTTAACAATCATTTTTATGGATTCCTTAAAGTAGCAGTGTCCCCTTCTCCTCCAGCTTACATAGAAGCCAAAAACTTTAACAAACAGCTGAGTGGTGATGTGCTTGTTCAAGGTCTAAAGCACTTATCCTGAATCAAGTTTACAGCATTTCCAGCCCTCCTTAGCTGGACACAGAAATGGACCCCACATGTTCAAATGTAATAAGACCCAACTAGTTAATGCATGTACAAAGTCTAACCTGAGAGCTGTGCGACAAAAAGCCTGTCTCCTTTTTTATTTCTAGAATGGAAAGAACTTTTAAAAAAGGGGCACTTTTCTGTAATTTTTAGAATTGGGGCCAGCGGGATGGAGTAGGGGAAAAGAGGTTGTTGCTTAAGACACCAATTTTTCCCTGTAAAGCTTCTGAACCCCTCTCTCAAAATGACATTTCCCCCAATCATTTTTGGAATGCAGATTGCAGTATCCCATACAGAGCTTTGAGTCTCAGCCTGTCAAAAATTGCAGGCCACAAGCCAAACATATTGCCAGAGACCAGGAAGAGATAAATTGATGCCTTCCACTAAATCCAACTGGCCAACTGGCATGAAGATTTGCAATTTGGAAAGTTGTAATCCAAAATATTTGGGAGATATCAAGTAGTAGGGGCTTATGCTCAATGGTAACTGTTTAAAACTTTTGAATCTTTAATTAAAAGATTAGATTTTTAAATCTAGTCAATCTTTTCCAGTCTGGTGTCCTTCAGATATATTAGGATGAAACTCCCAATCGTTATGTCCTCCACATAATGTTTGACCATGCACACTCTTAAAATAGCCTACTTGGGGAAGGAAGAGTTAAGTTTCTCTTCTCGCCATATTCTTTTGGAATTTAACAGAATTGTTCAATGCTCTTATTTACTAGTATTCCTAAATGTTGTTCCATCTCTCATGCAAGGCTGTAAAAGCAACCATGAAGCGGGCCTGCAAGTGCCATGGAGTATCAGGGAGCTGCAGCATCCAAACTTGCTGGCTCCAACTAGCAGACTTCCGAGATGTTGGAAATTATTTAAAGAACAAATATAACCAAGCTCAGAAGCTGGAGTTGGACAAGAGAAGAATAAGAGCTGGTAACAGTGCGGAGAGTCGTGGAATGTCATCTGAGCCCTTCAACACCATGCATGCTGCTGATCTTGTGTTTTTGGAAGACTCCCCAGATTATTGCATCAAAAACATCAGCTTGGGACTCTATGGTACTGAAGGACGAGAGTGTCTTCAAAGTGGCAAGAATCTGACCCAGTGGGAGAAGCGGAGTTGCAAGAGGCTCTGCATGGAATGTGGCCTCAAAATAGAGGAGAAACAGATTGAAATTGTCACAAGCTGCAATTGCAAGTTTCATTGGTGTTGCAAAGTGAAATGTGAACAGTGCAAACAAGTGGTAACTAAATATTATTGTTCCGCTCGAGTGGGCTCTCTTTCCAATAACTCTCGGCAGCGGAACAGGGGTCATGGGAGATAAATACATCATCCTCTAACTTTCCCTAAGGCTAATGCCTTGTTCACAGGAAGTATTCAGAAAAGAGATCTTTGGATCATAATTGTTGGACTTTCAGTTTTTCATTGGACAAAGCTTTTGTGTTCACATTACACTGAACTAAATTTGTATTAAGTCTGAATATTGCCACTGCACAAGCTCATCACCTTTTATATGCCTACCTCTATTCTAGAAACATGGTTTCCCCCTAGTCTACATGCTAGGCAAATGTTTTCATCAACAAGCTAACCTTACATTATAAGGATCAATTCAGGCTTGGGATATGTAGATGTTTCATTTACAATGCAATGTAATATGGATTGTAAACTTAGACTGTAGCCATTGATGGCTTTAAAGTTTCTTTCAAAAATTTCACATCTGTAAGCAAGTTAAACCTTGTAGCAAGTCTCCTTTCACATTGAAGCATTGTCTTTTTTGGCAAGATTGGAATGGAAAAAATCTGAAGCTCAGATTCAATATTGTTCAACTACATGTATAATGCTTATTTCCCTTTCTTCCCCAGTCTTTTTCAGTCTTTGATCTTATTTATAATTATTAATGTGATATATATTTCCACAGCTTAGGGCATACAATGTTATCATTGATGATACATAGGATCCAATCTGATAGCTATTATACATTATATGTTTTTAACTTGCAAAATACATAGTTATCGAAAGTATGAAAATCAGAGGCTATCCTGCATTTTATCTCTTCGAACAAGATAGTGTCATAAGAATCCAACATTGTGATCAGAAAATATTGGTTGCTTAAAATATTGGTTGAAATTCACAGAAATTTTGGAAGTCCATTGTTTGAATGATTTTCTGTAGTGCTAGAGAATAGTTTTTTCTCATGTTGAACTTCCATAGATTGTAAATATATATAAATATATATATAAATTTGTATATTAGTGTGAAACATATGCACTTTTTATTCAAAGATCTTAAATGCACAGGTCTAGTTCTCAGAGGTGCCTCAAGAGATGAAGCTATGGGTTTTATTAGACATTCAACTTTCAAGGAAAGAAATTCAGGTCTTTTTTTTTTTATGGCTGATTAATTTTTACCCCTTTCAAGTTACTATTGTAAAACAAGTTAAGTTAAAGCTGACCTTTAACAATATTTTACAATAAACGTTTTTGAAGAAATGTTTCCTTCAAAATGCCCTGTTTGCTCCATTTGTCTGGGTTAAAAGAAGCTATTTTTTCAGAAAAGAAGATAAAAGGAAGTTAAGGATTTGATCAAGAAGCCACAAAATAAGATAGAAACTGGCTTAGGTCTCTTTTTTCCTGGGGATATAAAATTTGGAAGAATTGGCGACAAACAAGGCTTGACAAAGTAAATTTCCCTTGTCTCGTTAATTTGTCTATTGTCTAATGTTCTTCAAACAATGCAAGCTGAGATTGTGTTTGATGTGGTAAATATGAGGGCTTGTTGCAGATTAACCCTTTGAACTAGAGAGTTTGAGCGAAAACTTGGAAGCAGTTGTGAATGTGTCTGTGGGTTCCCTGCTGTTTGCTCCTATAAATAACCTAAGGACTTGCATGCCTGAGAAGGCAAATGGAGAAACCTTCTAGCTCTGGAAACAGGACAACAACTCCTGGCTGCTTCCTTAAATGCATACTGAAGATCTCATCCAGATTTATTATTTTGCTGCCTCTGTAGGTCAACTATATGCCAACAAAGTTTTGGCTTGTTGTTCTCCCAGGCAATGCTGCTATACCATTCCATTCACCTCTTTCAATATTTATAAATAATTTGTTGTGCCCATCAATTGACCTAATTTGGAATTTTTCATCTATTTCTTTATCAAACTTGAACATAGTTTTGATTGGTCTTAGTAAAGGTATTGATTTTGGCAGAGAGAGAGAGAGAGAGAAGAAGAAGAGAGAGGGAGGGAGGGAGGGAGGGAGGGACCTCATGGGTCATTTTTTTCAGAGATATTTCCTCATCAGATTCCTCAATGCCTTCAACAGTGGCAGAGTTTCTAATATACTTGACAGGTTCTTAAAAATTCAGGGAGATATTCTGCAATGGTTCTTGAACGTGGCCATCCTGCATTGTATAGCATAGTCAAATATCAGAAGTTGACCACAGGAAATGTTTCATAACATTTGTATTTTGTCATAAAAAAGTTTAACGATCTTTTTAATGTTGTTAAACATTTGTAAAATATGCCAAATTTTAGTTCCATAGGTGTTATGGGTCCTAGACTTTGGAGACATTCTGTAAGTTAGCCCATTCGAAGTACCTTGTTTCAAAAAGTTTTGCCCTATGATAATCCTTTCACCAGTGGTGGGTTTCAAATTTTTTTACTATCGGTTCTGTGGGTGTGGCTCGGTGACCGTGACAGGTGAAGGATACTGCAAAATCTCCATTCCTACTCCACTCCAGGGGAAGGTTGCTGCAAAATCCCCATTTCCTCCTGATCAGCTGGGGCTCGGGAGGCAGAGAATATATGGTGGTGGGGCCAGTCAGAATTTTTACTACCGGTTCTCTGAATTACTCAAAATTTCTGCTACCGGTTCTCCAGAACTGGTCAGAACCTGCTGAAACCCATCTCTGCCTTTCTCCCAGTTAAAGATTACACACATGAGAGTTTTAGGTGTGCATGTGTGTGTGTGTGTGTAGTATAGTGCAGCACAACTATCTTTCTTGCTTATATCTTTGCCATCATTTGAAATCAGCATGATTAGTTTTCAAGCTCTGCTTTTCTATAAGGGTGCTCAGATTCCTCTTACGTATTTTAAGGTATGTTTGAAGGGAAATCACAATCTCCTGGTACAATATTTTAGTAGCATCATGTACCCTGTTTGTAAAATATAACCCAGTAAAATAAATCTCTAATACTGTACTAACTTAACTTGAGTCACTTTTGCCTCCTGTGGAATTTCTTAACTCTTCTTGCCATCAATAGCCCAATCTATTTTCCACCCCAGTGAGGGTGGAAAAAGAGTTGCTTTGATTTTTATATAGAATAATAATAATAGAATCATTATATATAATACAGGTAGTCGTTGACTTACGACCACAATTGAGCCCAAAATTAATGTTGCTAAACGAGAACTTGTTAAATGAGTTTTGTCCTATTTTACGCCCTTTCTTGCCCCAGTTGTTAAGTGAATCACTGCAGTTGTTCAGTTAGTGACACTGTTGTTGAGTGACTCTGGCTTCCCCATTGACTTTGCTTGTCAGAAAATTGCACAAAGTGATCACGTGGCCCTGGAACACAGCAACCATCTTAAATATGAGCCAGTTGCCAAGCGCCTGAATTTTGATCACATGATCATGGGGAAGCTGCAAAGGTTGTGACTGTGATAAATGGTCATAAGTCACTTTATTCAATGACATTGTAACTTTGAACGGTCACTAAATGAACTGTTGTTAAGTCAAGGACCACCTGTATATAATAAATAGTGATGTGTGTGTGTGTGTGTGTGTGTGTGTGTGTGTGTGTGTGTGTGTGTTTCTATCAAGACACCTGGTCTGCCCCAGCATGTGGGAGGGAGCATACTGCATCCCTTTTGCCTTTCTATGTATATGTATATGTATATGTATATGTATATGTATATGTATATGTATGCTTGACAACTTATATTTATGACCGTTGCAGTGTCCCAGGGTCATGTAATAACTTTTCCCAGCCTTCTGACAGGCAAAGTCAATGGGAAGACAGTTTCACTTAACAGCCATGTTACTAACTCAACAACTGCAGTGATTCACTTAACAACAGTGGCAAAAAAGGACATAAAATGCAGCAAAACTCACTTAACAACTGTCTCATTTAACAACAGAAATTTTGGGCTCAGTTGTGATTGCAAGTTGAGGACTAGCTATATACCTTGCTATTTTCAAATTTGGATTCCTCACTGATAATTTACCATTATCGTTATGCTCAAAATGGAGCTGGCATATTATTGTACACCAAATCAATCTAATATAACAGAGTAGAAATGCAATATTTTCCAAAAGAACTACAATAAACCCCTACAATTTATAAGAATTGGCAAAAATGCCAATTCCAAGATAGCCTCTAGTGGCAAAAGACCTGAGACAGAAGAGACATTTTATGAATAAACCAAAATCTGGAAAATAAACCTTGTTTTTCCCTGACAGCTTGGGAAGTTGGAATTTTTCCCATGCTGTTTTGTGGATGCACAAAATAATGAAAACATACTAAAGTCCATAAATATGTAAAATCATTTACTGTGAAAACCAGTGTCAGGTACAGTAGGTATTTTTAGAATTTATGCTAAAAATGGGAATGTGTTTTATTATCTTGGATGAATGTTTCAGTTCAACCATAAGTAGTTATTCTAGAATGTAGGCTAGCTTCTACTCTGTTGCAAGATTGATCCAAAGGTAAGATTTCATTTTTTAAAGATTTATATCCAGCCTGTCCTGGATATAAATCTAAAATGAAGGGAATGCTAATGAATGCAGTAAGATAACACATGACTTAATTGCCATGGTTTGCATAAGAGGGCTAAGCAGCAGGCAGGCCAAAAATACAATGGCCAGTGTCCCTTGTCTTGTGTTTCCACTGTTCAAGAACAGAACTACCACTGATTAACAATCCATGGTTTAACTAAGATTCATCTCTATTGTCAGCAAGCATTCTACTGTAGATAGACTTTTTGATATCGGTTGCTCACCAAGGATTGTTGACTGTTTTTCTTTTTTAACCCACCACGGTCTAAGAACAGAAGAATGTATTTTTACACCATCCATTTCCTGCATTTCCACATGGGGTTGGCAATTGTATGAAGTGAATATTATGGCTCCCAATGCAAAGGTTTTCCATCACTCCACTTGACATCTCCTCTCTTGAAGAGAATAAGTGACCTTTTCATATGCAGCTTGGCTAGCTGGTCACACCAAAACTAAATTAGGAAAAGCCATGGGTCACATTAATTCCTTGAGGCCTTAAAAACAAAAGGGAGAGGCTCTTTTCAACTTGCAAAAATCTTCCTTAACATTACAAAGTTTGGGGAGGGCAGGAATATATGGCTATTTTGATGACCTCCCTTCCTCCATATGTCAAAGTTGAGTAGATATCACAAAATGGTGGCCGAGTGTCATTATCTCTTCCCAGGATATTCAGATTAGTTCAAGAGAAATATCAAAGTTAAATTCATGCTTACTGGGACATGTTGATGGTTGATTCTTTTTATAATGTCCTCCACTCCAGATATACAATAGAATAGAATACACAATCAACATGTGGACTTTTAATATATCTGAAGGCCCCTAAGCTGTTAGAATAAAAAGACTGTCAAAATATCTAGATTCTAGAATGGCCCTACTTGGAACATAAAGCCCATCTTCCCATAGATAAGAACCTTGCACATATAAGTGTCAGATTGTAATATATAAAGGAGTAGGTTTCCAGCTGCATGATCCAGGAAGACAGTATAGCAGGGGAAGAATCTGGTTTAACCTATAACTACAGTATATAGTCTAACTAACCTATAGCTATATTTATATAAAATTCTTTCCCATGATAAATTTAACCTTAATTTAGTCAGTTATAGCAATTTTCTGGGCTCAGAAATACACTAGATTAAAATATGATTAGCTAGTTTGGATTCAGTGACATCTATGATCTCAGTATATGGATTGGGGATAGGATTCTAATACACAGTCCTGCTTCCTCCATTTGAGCGCATGTTCCATTTGCAGGAACTCTTATTTCATACACCTGCAGTGACTCCATGCTTCATTGTAGGATCACAACCTATTATTCCATATAAAATCAGTATGATTTAGAGAGGGAAGGATTTGCTCATGACTGCTATCCTGCTGAGATGTCCATGAGAAGCTGCTGCCAGAATAGACTGGGTTTGTACGCTGTGCAAATCCAGAAAGTGATTTGTCTGATTTTTGCTCATTCTATTTTTATGAATTATTTATGTTGTAACACGTGTGAAGCCTACCAGTTGTGATTTATTTAACAAATCATTTTAAACAAAGTTGAGCATAGAGTGATATAAAATCTCAAGTATTTTCTTTTCTTTCCTTTTTATAAATAGAATAAGGTTCTAGGGAAACTGCTAGTTTTGTGAATTACCGTATTTTTCAGAGTATAAGAGGCACCTTCCCCCCCCTAAAAGAGGGTGAAAATTTGGGTGCATCTTATACACCAAATGTAGCCCCGCCCAGCCTCTGAAATGGAGGTTTCAGAGGATGAAAAAAGCCTCTTAAAGGGAAGTTTCAGAGGATGAAAAAAAAAGCAAGGGCAGAGCTCACAACCAATGAACCTGTTGCTAAAGCTCACCTCTGAGAACAGATGATTAGGGGTATTCCAGGAGGCCATCCACCCACCAATCAGCTTTTTTCTTATTTTCCTCCCCCAAAACTAAGGTGAGTCTTATACTCAGGTGCGTCTTATAGTCTGAAAAATACGGTACTAGCATGAAGTGGCAATATCAGAATAAATGGCACATTTGTGGTAGTCAAATAGAAATGATGACATCAAAACTTTGTGATATTGTGCTGGTTCTCCAAGGACATTTTTTCATTTCTGTTTAACTGCATTATCATGAAGACGTGAAATCCTTGTAAATATTTGTATTTAGTAACCTATGATACAGCTGCTTAGCCCCATAGCAAGATAAATGGCAAATATATTTACCAAATAAAATAGATAGATAGATAGATAGATAGATAGATAGATAGATAGATAGAAAGATAGATAGAAAGATAGCTAGATAGACAGATGGATGATAGATAGACAGACAGACAGACAGATAACCATCCAATTGTCAAACTTATATGAAGTTATTTTTCAGTTCCTCAGATATTAAGATATATGCTATCTCAAATCATTAGCCTGGCTGAAAATACCATTTAATATTCTCTGCATGCATAATTTGTATCAATTTAAGAATATTTTTTCGGGATTTGGAATTGATTTGGAATTGATTAAAAAAGACTGGAATTGATTCACATGTTTTACAAGCTACAGAACTGTTGATACGAAAACGTAGCATATTATCTCCTGTTCCTCTTTTTTGTTCTTCTTCTTCTGCTTTTTCTCTTCAAACTTTGTAGAGGAGAGCAAGAACTCCATCCTGAAAAAAAAGACTTCACTGATCATGTATGAGTAATGAGAAAAAAAATGAGCAAAGCAAATCTTTCAATATAATAAACTTATTCTATAGGGTGAAACCTGAACCTGATTTTCAAATGTGGTATGTTTGAATCAAGCAGATTCAGTGTTTCATCACTGCCTTTTAACATGAGGAACTGCCAGCTCTAAAGATGAGTGCTAACTCTTTGTGTAATCAGGCGCAAGAGACCAAGAGATATACTAGCTTTATCTCATCCATCACCAGAAGACTACCACAAATCATGCTTTAATGCTTTCTCTGATGATTGGGAGCACTAAATTATGCCACTGTTATCCAGAATTCTCTAAATTTATAAATACAGACCAGAAACCTTAAAAAGAAAGATAGCGTAAATGTGCTATGGGGCTGCTACAGAAAGCTTAAGATTTCCAGTAACAATGGGGAATCTGGTTTAAATCCATTTAAGTTTACCGCATCTCCATGGCAAAGATTAGCAAAATTAAGAGGAATTTGAATGAACTTCCCTCAGTTATAGCAACATGGAGAGATTCGATCTATTATATAGATCTGAGTTACAGTTTTTTTTAAAAAAAACAGTTCAACATTGTACTGTTGTACATTGTACATTGTAAGAAAAAAAATCCCCCAGTTGCAAATGTCAATGGTGTAATGCTTGCTTCCATAGATACATTTCTGTTTGCCTTTAGAAGATTAACTTTAATTTGGTGGTGACCAAATATTTTCTTCTGCAAAAAATGCTTTTCATTTAGAATTCGAAATGTTAGCTGAAGAACAGCTTAGACCTACTTTTGTTTTCTATGCATCTGTATGATTTTTTTATATTTCCCTGAATTTTACTGACATTCTGTTCTGGAACTCCCATTAACAACTGCCGTAAGCTAAAACACCATTTTTGAACTTCAGTATGAAATAGGACCAGTTAGAGTATTTTGCTCTTTTTTCTTTTTTAAGTTTCAGCCCTGCAATATGTGCACACAACTACTGAATGAGAACCAATTTATTTATTTATTTATTTATTTATTTATTTATTTATTTATTTATTTATTTATTTATTGGTTCGATTTATATGCCACCCTTTTCCGGAGACTCAGGACGGCTTACAATGCGTTAAGCGATAGCCTTCATACTTTTGAATATACCTGCTTAATAGGGCAGCTTATTGCCCCCACAAACCAGGTCCTCATTTTACCTACCTTAGAAAGGATGGAAGGCTGAGTCAACCTTGAGCCTGGTGAGATTTGAACTTGCAGTAATTGCAGACAGCTGGTGTTACTTAACAGTGCTTTAGTCTGCTGCGCCACCAAGGCTCAAGCCTTGATGGCCCCACTGAATTTTAGCTACAATTCAGTGTGTTGCACAATAGCAATAGCACTTAGACTTATATACCGCTCTACAGCCCTCTCTAAGCAGTTTATAGCGTTAGCCCCCAACAATCTGGGTCCTCAAATCCAGAAAAGTACTTTAAATGCATGAAGGAAAGATGTTTGTGATGACACATCCTGTCTTTTATGTATATCAACCATTCATGTGCTTCTCCTAATAGCCAAGAAGAAGTTTATACATGTTTTCTACATAGGGTTGTCATCATTGGAATGATGAAGAGTGTAATCCAATATATTCAAACGCAGCCAAATTAGAGAAGGCTTTAGTAAATTATTGACAGTGAATGTAATGTTAACTGTGAATAAACTTATTTGTATATTAATAATTGATTTCCAGTTGCCTCTGTTCTTTTTTCCCCGCTGTTCATAGCTGTGCAACATGATGAACTGAATGCTAAGGATAAAATAATCCAAGCAGAATTTACTGGTATCCTTTAAAAATTCAGGAAATAGCAATGGATTACTCATTTCAAAGGTGACTGGGATACTGGCTATGTAAACCCTTCTTGGCAGTATTTATCCTATCATTCAGGAGGCACAACACGAGAAATTATTGGTAATATATGTTTAGCTTTTAATGTGTGAGGGGACCTAAGACTTGGTGCAGACCTAATGCTTAACTGACTTGTTTTCTTTGGGTTGCAGTTCTGCGTTGTACTACAAGTGGCTTATTGCTTACCAGACTCGGCAAAATTGTTTTGTTATTCACTGTTAAGTGTTATATTTGACTATGTAAACTATAGTTATAGTTTATTAATTTGAACATAGCCTGACTCCCAGCAACCATAAGCAGTTGACTAGAAGAAAGCATGTGAAGCTGTACAGTAATCTGAAATTGGATTGTAAACCATGATTTACTCAATTAGTCTGCGGTGATGAAATACTAGAAGTCCATTGTTTATAATCTTCTACTCTATTGAAACTGTTGGTAAGTACACAGTTCTTAAACAGCATTTTTGTGATGTGTTATGCTGGGTCCATCTGGATTCAACAACTTTCAGGGAAATTGCAAATTGAAACTGGTTCCGCTAAATGTGAAGCCAACAACTGTGGCACAATGAAGAGCCATCAAGTAGGCTAGCTCTTCATAATTCTTTTCTAGACAAGGAAGGGACTTGAAATCACTCACAAGTGTTCCAGACAGCTGCTCCTTGCAAGAAGGAGCAAGGCAGCAATCTCCAGCAGATTTAGAGCTCTGAGAGAGGAGGGAATAGTCATCTTGCTCAAATCATGGCTGGCACCTTCAAAAGGGCACTGACTTTGCATATTTTCTTTTCTAATCACTTTCAGAAATTGCTTGTTAACTGCTTCTCAGCTATTAGGAACCTTTGGATCAACAAGTCTGAAAATACCAGGTAAATTTCTTTCAGTCCTTAGTCAGGAAGACTTTGGACACTAGAGGGAACTAAAAGTAACTAAAGATGATGAAAAAGAAGGGCACTTAAAGTTGACTTACTAATACACAATGAAGCAAAATATTTTAATTTTGGATATATTTAACAATATTTTTGAACAATGGACCTGAAGTTAATTTTAAGCCTATCTGCCTCTATGGTTAGGCTTTGTTTAAAATATTTTGTGGAAGAGCAACAGGATTGAGACTGATTTGAAAAAAGATTTAAAAATGACAGGCTACAAGAATGATATGGAAAAAGATATAACACTGGATGTACAAATGAAACCAGCTGATATCCTAATAATTAAAAAGGATTTACAAGTAATAAATCAAAACAATGTCCTGGATTTTCTATATTTATGGTGTATGACTTATAGTGGTTCAAATGTTAATGTCCAGGCCACCCAGCCATTCAAGGACAGGGTGGTCTATGTTGACATTGGGCCGATGTAAGCTCTTGATGGACATTTGGACACAATGCAATAGATATTTTGTCGAGGACCACCACGGTCACACTGAGGGGTAGAGACAAGACCCCACTTAAACAATGAGTCCTGGCAGACACCATGTTGGGTATGGCTCCTGTTCAGAGTTGACCAATGGTGGCGAGGAAGGTCAAAACCTGGCACCTTTTGTGTAGGGTCATCTATGTAACTGCCTGTATCTGGACTGGATAATTTTCCTATATTGGATTTACAATATAGGCTGGTTAAAGCTCTGAAGAATTTTGGGAGAAGGGACAAAGAAAAAAAATGAAAACAACTCAAATTCTGGGACATTATTTGAAGGGATTAACGATCAAGATTCTTAAAAGTAAAAGGAAGGAATATAGAGTTGGTATATTTGATCAAGGTTAAAATAGATGTGCCATTATCTTTAGACTAAAATGATAAGGTTTTGAAGATTTGTTTATACATAAGAGATAGGATATGGGAAGAAGATATAATTTGTTGCACTTTAAAAGAAGACAATAAGTTACTAAAATTGTTTATACTTGTGATAAAGGGGGAAATAATTTCTTTATATATTTCCTTTCCTCCACTTTACTATATTTTTATTTTTCCTTTTTTATTTTTTTTTCATTTTTGCACTTTCTATTTGTTATTTTTTTTTAGTATGTATTAGGTTGTTTTATCATTGTAAAGGCAATCTTTAAAAAATTACTATTAAAAAAATAATAATGCTGGATTGAACATAGGAACAAGCTACTCAGTGATAGAAGTATATTTTAATGCAATTCATAAATAACCGAAGTAAAACCACATTGATTCAAAATGCAATATCCTAACCAGAAACTGGATTAGCTGGCTATTTTTTTTACATTCAAAGGAAATTGAAAGAAGTTTCATTTTATCAGCCCTTTGTCTTCTTCCAAAAATTAGAAGATGACACTTTTCAATGCAGCCAGAAAGGTGTTAGTAAAACAAAGGCCCATGTGGTCAAAACACATTTGGCTGTTGTTACACAGTTACATAGCTTTCTAGGTAACCATGAATAGTCAGGTAGAAGGCCGTAGAAGAAAATATTTCCCAAGAATATTCTCCATGATGCTACAACGAATAGTTTACTCGGGAACCAATGAGCTAGCAATAGCCTAACTAATCTGTCACAATAAGAAGCCCTCAGGAGAATAGGCTGCTATTTTCTTTAACAGCAGTTTTTCTTCTTCCTTTGCTTCTATGTACAGAAGAATATATGTACAGTAACTGAAAAGACGAAGACAATAGAAAAAAATTATAGCACAGCAGAAATTTCTAGGAAATGTATTCTTAATTTCAGTTCCAGTGCACAGTTTGATACTGAAGTCTAAGACTTCAGGCATTCTTAGGGTTTTCCTGGCACCTCCAGACCCAAGCACTGGTCACTGCAGTGAGTGGCAGTGTTTTGTGGTCAGAACACAGTGTACTTTTTTTTTTTTTGCTTTGTTTATCCACTGACAGTATCTCTTCATCTTGATAGTTATTGTTTTTTCAATGATTATGACCAAACAATACGGTAATTGCTATTTGATCTGATTACATATACAACTAATCATAAACGGTAGGTTGACATGGTATGCTATATCAAAATCATTGATATGCATGTGAGTCTGGAAGAGAGGGGGGAGGGAGGGAGGGAGGGAGGGAGGGAGGGAGGGAGGGAGAGAGAGAGAGAGAGAGAGAGAGAGAGAGAGAGAGAGAGAGAGAGACTGAACTTTGTGGCCATGTCTACTATTCCTATTTAATTCAGTGGCCTATTGGTAGGAGTTAACGAGTTCTTCAGTCACAAAATCTGACCACTTCTGCTCTAATTCTATGTTTAAAAAAAAATAGCATAAATTGACCCAAAGCTACTGCAGTTGAGCATTATTGCTGCTAAGCTGAAAAGCTGAAAAGTTCTTTCAGCAGAAAACCTACTGGCTAAAATGTACTGTATCCATTGCTGATCACTGCCTCCCCATCACTGCCTCCCAAGGAAGCCAAAACGATTCGATACAGCTTGAAGTTGCTTTTGGATGCTGTTGGGATACAGAAAGAAAGAACTTTAACATTTGCTACAGCTAACAATGAACTGAATATGTCTTGTGATCTGGAGATATTGCAAAGACAACATCATTCAAAATGATAGATGTGTTGTCAAGACAGGTTTGCGTTGAGGCTTAGTGACTGGAGAAAGCCCCCAAAGTAGTTTTTTATCCTAACTTATTTCCCAATCCTTCCATGAAGGAAATAAAATTTTAGCAGGTTAGGTATTTTACTTCATGTTATCCTGTGTACATAGCAAACCACCAATGAAATCTAAAGGACAGAAAGGAGTGAACTTCAGTAGTAAAGATATATCATGTTCATTTATTTATTAGATGTATGGCTGCCCATCTCGCCCAGTGACTCTTGCCAGCATACATGTCTGTCTGTCTCTATCATCTATCTCTATCTCTATCTCTCTATCTCTCTATCTCTCTATCTCTCTCTCTCTCTATCTATCTATCTATCATCAGGGCTAAAAACTAATATTATTAAAATTCAGCGTAAAATATACAAAATCTGGGCATGGAGAGGAAGAGAGTATGT